TCCTCCCACCTCATCCCCTTAAGTAGCCAGGACTACAGGTGCACGCCATCATGACCAGCTTTTATTTTAATTTTTTTGTAGAGATGCAGGATCTCACTATCTTCCCCAGGCTGATCTTGAGCTCTTGGGCTCAAGCAATCCTCCCACCTCAGCCAGAATTATAGACATGAACCACTGCACCCAGATCAGATTTTTTTTGTGATGAGGGAATTGGAAATAGGGAGGAGGTTGGAAGTTCATGTGAATTTTTTTTTAGTGTTGGGAATTTTGAATATGTAATTTCCAAGGTTCATCATTTGATTTTATTCTTGAATTGTGTCACTTAATTCTTTTATACTTTTAGAACTATTGTGTTTATACTTACGATGGTACATAAAAATCTAGTAGGTATTTAGAAATATAGACAGGAATAGAGGTGATGCAGTGAGATTAAAGCTCTAAGTTTGGAATTGATCAGCATCACTTCTGAGTGGATGAATCTAGGAAAAGTGTGGTGTAATGAAGCCAAGGAAGCTAAGTTTAAATGTGAATGGCCAACAGTGTCAAATGTTGTGGAACTCTTGAAAATGACTGGCTAAGAAGCTGATGAGAAAGTAGCAACCAAAAGATTAGCATTCAGAATATATAATAAGTGCTGTGCTGATAAATGTTTAACAACTGGCTAAGGATGGGCTGTTTAGCTTTTGCAGATTTCCATGCTATAAATATTTCCATCATGGCCAATTTCAAGCTACCGACATCATGTCATTAAATGTGGAGTTGAGAAGAGATGTTTACAATCAACAGTATACTGCTATGTAGAAGAAATTCATAATTCAATAAGAAAATGAGAATCTAATAGAAAAATGGGCAAGTATATGAATAGGCAGTCCACAAAAGAGGAAATACAAATGGGCAATAAACATAAAGATATTCATCTTACTAGTACTGTGTATAAGGAACATACAAATTAAAAGAACAAAAAAAAACCATTTTTATCTATTAGAATTCAAAAATTTTAAATATTTGATAATATTAAATCAGATGAGAACGTGATTAACTATTGATAGTTTCACATCATTTGACAGGAGTATATTAGTATGACCATTCTTTAGGGTACCCTGGCAGTAGTTATTAGAATTAGAAATGTGCATGTCCTTTGACCTAGCAGATCATATACTGATATCTCCCGTAGAGTAGCATCCATACTTGCACACAAGATGTGTATAAAAATATTCACGTTGGTTTTATTTTTAGTAAAAGATACAAAATTACATGTTCAGTGGTATGATTTGTGGTAGTGCTCAAAAGGGAATTGGTCATGTCCATAATTTTTAAATATATACATTTTTAACGTAATTAACCTGAGTGTTTTATATGTTCAGGGAAAGGAAGGAATTAAGGAAGTAAGAGCTAGAGAATGGGCAAGGATGCAGTCCAGAGTATAGGTAGAATTTGATAAAGAAAAAGAGGGAAATCATCTTATAATAAATAAGAATAAATATAGAAATTCTATTATATTGGCATAAAAATTAGCAAGCTATCACCACAAGTCAGGGTGGGAGAGAAGGAACTTGTAAATCATCTTCATAAAAATCAGTAGACTATTTTGCCTAAATGAAATTTAGACAGAAAGAGATACGTTCAATAGATTTGGGAATGCATGTGAATTTTTTTTTTTTTTTTTTAATTTATGAAACCTTTCTTGGGTCAATGACAGAATGACAGTATATTCCTTCCAATCTGTGGAAGTTAAAGAAATTATACTTAGTTGCATTAAATGTTAGAATTGGATATGGCAACCTTGACAACACTTTTCTGATGAATGGCTGTTATCTAGAGACAATAATCCCAATAGAAGGCAGAATGGCAAGGTCTAGATTAAACTATGAAATGGTAATGATACTCAGCCAGCTGATATAGCTGCTGATTAGATTTTTTTCTCCCTATCATCTGTACCATTTTTACTACTCTGAAAAGACAGGTCTAACAACCCTGGTTTGGTATTTATTTGTCTCTGGATTTTAAATCTATTAAAGTTACATATGGTTGTCTTTTGTTTTGGTTCAAATTGCTTTGGTTTGGGTTTTATGTTTTAAATGTCAACATCTGTCTGGGCACAATGGTGCACACCTGTAATTCTAGCACTCTTGGAGGCTGAGACATGAGAATTGCTTGAACCCAGGGGTAGAGGTTGCAGTGAGCCAAGATCGTGCCACTGCATTCCAGCCTGGGTGACAGAGCAAGACTCTGTCTCAGATTTAAAAAACAAAAATAAAAATAAAAAATATTGGCCTGGTGTGGTGGCTCACTCCTGTAATCCCAGCACTTTGGGAGGCTGAGGTGGGTAGATGACTTGGAGTCAGGAGTTCGAGATCAGCTTGACCAACATGGTGAAACCCCGTCTCTACTAAAAATACAAAAATTAACCTGGCATGGTGGTGCGCACCTGTAATCCCAGCTGCCTTTGAGGCTGAAGCAAGAGAATTGCTTGAACCTGGGAGGTGGAGGTTGCAGCGAGCTTGGATCGCGCCACTGCACTCCAGCCTGGGTGACAGAGCAAGACTCTGTCTCCAAAAAAAAAAAAAAAAAAGTTAACATCCAAGTCTTGTATGTACTTTTCTAATTTTTTATAAAGCCCAACTTAAACATTATTACTGTGAGATTTTAGCTGGGAAACATGGAATTAAATTTTTTTTTAGTGTGGTAAAATTTTAATCAGTTAAATTATTTTTAACTCAGAGGTTCTAAAAGCCACTGAAAATCATTACCACTTTATAGTGTAATCTAGGCTTTGCCATTTTGCCTTCTTTTTTGGGATTAGACAACATGAGCAACTGTATTAAAATATACGGCACAAGTACATAAAAACATCTTAGGAATAATGAACTTTGCCTTTTCTCCCAATCTAGTCTTTACAGCTTCTGTTAAGATAAGTCTTTTTAAAGTTCACCTTTTAGTATATTCATAATTTCTTCAAAACCTTTAGCAGTTCTCTACCAAGTAAGTTCAGGAGCCTTAGAATTCTAAAAATGCAAAATAGTAAAATGAGAGAATGCTTATTTCATGTTTCCATTGCACAGAAGACTATTTTGTTTCAAGCAAATTTAGTTTTGAACAGTACTTCTAAAACTTTTTATTATTTGTATTCTGTCCTCTAAGCCCAATAATATAGGAGCAAAGGTTTTAAGTGGAAAATTAGTTTAAAATAAATTTCTTTTTGCTGTAGACTCTAAAATGTAGATTAGCAAGTACAGAGGTTTTATCTCTTGTCCTTGATAGTTCATGAACAGACACAGTGAAAGGAAGTGCTGCCATGGTAACATAAACCAGACTGTTATTTGAGACCATACTCAAGATGCTTAACTGCCCTGAAACTGCAAGTTTTCAATACCAATTCTTCCAATTTGCTATTTCAAAGAAATAGCAACTCTACTGTGATCAAAACAATTTTCAGTCCCCTCACAACAGAATTTGAAAAGTAGACTTAAACTAAACAATTTCTCAGAGTGTAATCTCCAAGAAGTTGTTGGAGATTCTCAAGTGTAATTCTACCAAGGTAGAATATGGCTAGCATTATTAAATAATTGTCTTGGTCTGTGTCTGAAAAGTAATGCATGCATATCTTTTCTATATGAGATTGAATTGGCTTTGGGGCAAAAGATGTTGTGGGCCCTAACATTTTAATTCTTTTTTTTTTTCTTGAGACAAGGTTTCACTGTCACCTAGGCTGGCCTCAACCCCCTGAGTAGCTGAGACTACAGGCGCGCACCACCACACCTGGTATTTTTTGTATTTTTGTAGAGACAGAGTTTTGCTATGTTGCTCACGCTGGTCTTGAACTCCTGAGCACAAGCAATCGCCTGCCTCAGCTTCCCAAAGTGCTAGGATTACAGACTTGAGCCACCACACCTGGCCCTGTGCTAACATTTTTTTTCCCTGACATCAAAACACATGTATCATTTGGAGCAGGTGACTGAACATATAGCTAAGTTAAGAAGTTTTATCATTTAATCCAAAAATACATTTGTAAAACTTGTCTTTCTTGGAAAAAAAAAAAAAAGAAAATGTCAAATACTTGTTTAGTATGGTTAATGTGATATCTTGCTGCTGAATACCAGAAAAAATGTTTCTCCTGATAATCCGGTGCATTTCTTTCTTTATGACAGTGTGATATGACACCTGTGGTTTTTCTATTTATACATTACTAGCATAGTGAAAAACTGCCTTACAGTCAATTGCTATACCTTTTCACAGCAAAAAGGTTTTATTCTGTCCTAAATTTATTGTATCCCTTATTTTTTACCACCTAACTTTTGCCTTTTATTCAGAATTAATTTATTTTTGTTCTTGTTGATTTTTTTTTCAAAATTCTCTCCTCTGCGGAAAGTAAAAAAAGAGTAGGAATATACTATTATTTAACCCTTATGTATGCCAGTTTCAGAATGACCCCTTAATAGTCACCTATTTTGCAGCTATCTGTCACTTGCATATAAATCAACTTATTTGAATCTCATTACAATTCAGTGAAGTGACCTGCATTGTTTTACTTTAAGGGTAAAATGTAAATGAGAAGTCTAACTCTCAAAAATTAAATGATTTGCCCAATATCACATAGCCAATCTATGAGAAGTGATCTGGACCTCAGTGTTTGAACCTATAGAACAGTGTTCTTTCATTTTGCCATTCTGCTATAATTTTGTTTTTATCTAAATAATTGTTAATGTAGTTGTAAAGGTAATTGAAATTTTATGAAAGAGTTTTTGAAATAGAAAAGGCATAATAGAAAACCAGAAACTAATAACATTTGAACCTCACTAATCTTGTAAGTTAGAGGAAGTTTTGTACATCATAGGGTGACTTTTAGTGACTACAATGCACACTTCAACCTTAGTTTCATACTCAAAAGGTACCAGAAATTATTTCCCTCCCTCTACCTGTACATTTATTAAAACCATTTAGACACTGTCTATAAAAGTATAAAAGTTCCTAGTTAGTAATTCTTGTGCATTTTATTCTAGGTTAATGGAAAAGGTTCCTTATGGTGTGTTGATCCGGAATATAAACCCAATCTTATACAGGCACTGAAGAAGCAGCCTTTTTCTTCAGCATCTCCACAGAAGTAAGGATCTTCCATATAACTGTTGGTGGTGATTTATAGGATTTCATTGTGTGAGATGAATAAATTTAAACATCCAGGGTATTTTGGTTTTGTTTTTTTATTATATGAAGAAGTATTTATGTTTTATGTAGTTTTTTGGGTTTGTTTGTTTTTGAGACAGAGTTTTACTCTGTCACACAGGCTGGAGTGCAGTAGCGAGATCTCAGCTCACTGCAACCTCCGTCTTCCAGGTTCAGGTGATCCTTCTGCCTCAGCCTCCCTAGTAGCTGGGACTACAGGCATGCACCACCACTCTCAGCTAATTTTTGTCTTTTTAGTAGAGACAGGGTTTCACCATGTTGGCCTGGCTGGTCTGTAATTCTTGACCTCAAGTGATCCTCCCACCTTTGCTTCCCAAAGTGCTGGGATTACAGGCGTGAGCCACTGTGTTCACATTTTTTTCTTTCTTAAGAAGTATTTATGGATAAGACATTAACCTAAGGAAGTTTTCCTTAAGGTCTACTTTGTGTTTCTAGAAAACAGGAAATTGGTTGGTTGAGAACGTACATTCTGGGAAATATAGTCAGTACTGAATATGTATAAGTAATCCCTAAAGAAAGTTGTAATATGATTTCAGTTACAAACAGGTTAGATTTTTTTAATTGTCTGCAATATTAATTTTTTTTTAGTACTTATAATATTTGTAAAGTATGTTCAAGTCTAAAATTTTTAAATGTTTGGCAAATAAAATAATGCTTTGAAGTTTGTTTTTATTTTTTTCTGGTAAATATAATTGTACTGTATTTGCTTATAATTTTCTTTGGCTTTGTTTTCAAACCCAGTAACCAACCCCTATTGGTCTTCTAGCTTCCTCATTTTAAGTTAAATCTGAAAATAATGACCTTCTTAAATCTGGTTTTTGTTTCCTTTTTCTAAAGAAGAGTTTAGAGTCTTCTTCAATTTATTATATACCTTCATTTGAATTGAAAATCCCAGATTTGGTTAAAATACTTTTAAGGGTAGTTTATAATTGCTAACTAATGTTTTGAAAAATTTTAAAAGATTTTTAATAAAGTAATTAATGGAAATGTTTAAACCTATGCAAAAAAGTGGAGAGAAAGTTATAATGAACTCCCAGCTGCAACAGTCGTCAATGTTTCATATAGTGGCCAATTTGAATTCTTAAAGTATTATTAGATAACTTGTAAAGGGAGTGGTTGTAGCTGGAATACAGTAAACAGCTGGGAAGACTAAAGTTGAAATATTGGTAATCTGTTCAGTCACTGAGATTTTAAGCATCTTTACCATGTTTGTAGATTAGATGGATCATTATAAAAACAATAACTGAGTGGTTTATCTTTATGAATTGAAACCTAGAAAAGAAGTTACCAGATTTTATATCCTTATTTGGGAGTTGATATGTTTAATAATTAATGTTGAAGTTAATTAACAAATAGATTTTTTTATACTATCATAAATTCCAAAGAGTAGTTTTTCCCAAAAATGTTTTAATTTCTGGATTAAAAGAACTGTTGATGTGTTTCCATGAATATAGATAGTTTAATTTGATATTTATTTATAAAATCAGGAAGATATCTGTTTGCTGTCATTACCAAGTGTTCCTTAACCATGTGTTCTGGTAAATGCTTTTATTTCTGTGGTAATACCTATATTAGTATTATATCAAACTTAAGCATCCAATACAAAACAAATAGTAACTATCATATATTATCTATTGTTCCAGGCGTTTTTAATGCAGTATTATTTTTTTTCTTTTTTTTTTTAAGACAGGAGTCTCACTCTGTTACCCAGGGTGGAGTGCAGTGGCTTGATCTCAGCTCACTGCAACCTCTGCCTCCTGGGCTCAAGCGATTCTCCTGCCTCAGCTTCCTAAGTAGCTGGGATTACAGGCATGTGCCACTACGCCCGGCTAATTTTTGTATTTTTGGTAGAGATGGTGTTTCACCATGTTGGTCAGGCTGGTCTCGAACTCCTGACCTCGTGATCTGCCCACCTCAGCCTCCCAAAGTGCTGGAATTACAGCCGTGAGCCACTGTGCCCAGCCCTTTAATGCATTATTGTTATGTAATTATCACAATAGCCTATGTGGGAGATTTAATTATTTCTATTTTACAGATGAAAAAACTAAGAGATTAATTATTTTGCCTAAGAACATCCAAATAGTTGTGATTTAATTTTGGCTCCTATACTCTTTCTACTTTGGCAGACTTTCTAAACTCAGTAGTATTAGCAAAGAAAACAAGGTAAAAATAGTTTGTTTTTTATGGTACAAATTAGCTGTATTTGTGACTAAGTTCTATAAAAAATGAAATAGCTGAGCACAAATGGCTCATCCCTGTAATCCCAGCACTTTAGGAAGCCAAGGTGGGCAGACCAGTTGAGCCCAGGAGTTTGAGACCAGCTTGGGCAAACCACCCGCCTTTTTTTTTTTTTTTTTTTTTTCCATAGTAAAACCCCTTCTCTACCAAAAAAATACAAGAATTAGCCAGACATGGTGGCATATGCTTGTGGTACCAGCTATTAAGGAGGCTAAGGTGGGAGGATCACCTGAGCTCAGTAAGTCAAGGCTGCAGTGGGCTGAAATCATGCCACTGCACTCCAGCCTGGGTGAAGAGTGAGAACCTGTCAAAAATTAGGGGAAGAAAGTAAAATAAAAATTTTTTAAGCATGTTTACTTTTTTGTTTTTCAGTGGTTCTTTATCACCTCACTATTTAAGCTCTGTACTCAAGCAGAACCAGGTGCGAACCCTCAAAGGTATGTGTGCATTTAGTACAGTCATGTGCCATACAACAATGTTTTGGTGAACAACGGACTGCATACAATGGTGGTCCCCTATGATGATAATGGAGCTGAACAATTTCTATGCTTGGTGACTTGGTAGCTTGTAACGAAGCATTTACTCAGGTTTGTGGTGATGCTGGTGCAAGCAGACTCTGCACTGCAAGTCATGTAAAAGTATAGCATGTAGTTATATAAATATATTAATACTTGATAAATGGTGATAACTATGTCACTGGTTTATGTAATTACTATACTTTTTACTGTTATTTTCAAGTATGCCCCTTACACTAATTTTAAAAAGTTAACTGTAAAAGAGGTTCACACAGGTCCTTTAGGAGGCATTCCAGAAGAAAGCATTGTTACCATAAGAAGATGACAGCCCCATGTGTATTATTGTCTCTAAAGATCTTCCAGTAACACAAAATGTAGAGGCAGAAGACAGTGATGTTGATGATCTTGATCCTATGTATGCTCAGGTTAATGTGTGTATTTGTGTCTTTATTTTTAGCTAAAAAGTTTAAAAAATTTTTTTAAATTTAAAAATAGAAAAAAGCTTACAGATTATAAAGAAAATATTTTTATACAGCTGTATAGTGCATGCTGTTACTACAAAAGTTAAAAAGTTTATGAAGTAAAAATTTACAGTAAACTAAGGTTAATTTATTATTGAAGAAAGAAAAATTTTTACATAGAGTACAACCTAAGTGTACAGTGTTTATGAAGTCTACGGTAGTGTATAGTAATGTCCTAGGCCTCTACATTCACTCACCGCTCACAGTCACTGACTCACCCAGTGCAATTTCCAATCTTTCAAGCAATTTCCAATCTTTCATGGTAAGTACCCTACATAGGTGTACCATTTTAAATATGTATATTGTGTTTTTACTGTAACCTTTTTTTTTTCCTGGCAGAAACTAACAGAACATTTACTGTACCTTTTCTATGTTTATATATGCAAATGCCATTTGTGTTACAGTTGCCTATAATATTTGGGACAGTAACATGCTGTACAGATTTGTAGCTCAGGAGCAATCCTAGGTGTGTAGTAGGCTATACCGTTTAGGTTTGTGTTAAGTACACTCTGTGATGTTCACACAATGACATTTCTCAGAACATACCCCATCATTAAACAAAGCATGACTTTATTTTTATTTTATTTATTTGTTTTATTTTTAAGAGATGGTGTCTTGCCATGTTGCCCACACTGGTCTTGAATGCTTGGGCTCAAGTGATTTTCCTGCCTCAGCCTCTCAAGTAGGTGGGAATATAGGCACACATGACTGTATTTTAAATCATAAATTCAGATAAAAATTCAGGATATTTTGTTGTTGCTGTTTTAACATTTTTCTATTTTTAAAAGTATTATATACTTATTATAGGAGATTTGAGCAATAAAACCATTTATAAAAAGAGAAAGTAGGCCGGGCACAGTGGCTCGTGCCTGTAATCCCAACACTTTAGGAGGCTGAGGTGGGCAGATCACCTGAGGTTGGGAGTTCAAGACCAGCCTGACCAACATGAAGAAACCCCATCTCTACTAAAAGTACTAAATTAGCCAGGCATGGTGGCACATGCCTGTAATCCCAGCTACTTGGGAGGCTGAGGCAGGAGAATCACTTGAACCTGGGAGGTGGAGGTTGCGATGAGCTGAGATCGCACCATTGCACTCCAACCTGGGCAGCAAGAGTGAAAAACTTCATCTTAAAAGAAAAAAAGTAAAGTCATTTATTTTATTGTTAATATTTTTGTCTTATTCTGTTTAGTTTTCTTTTTCTTTTTCTTTTTTTTTGAGACAGGTTCTCAGTCTCTCACCCAGGCTAGAGGCAGTGGCACAGTTATGGCTCACCGCAGCCTCAAAATCCTGGGCTCAGGTGATCCTCCCACCTCAACCTCCCAAGTAGCTAGGACTACAGGTGCCATCACACCTGACTAATTTTATTAACATTTTTTTATCATTCCTTTGGGGTTTTTTATGCCATGTATGTGAATAGATACATTTGCATGCACATATGTACATGCACACATACATAAACACATACTTCCACCCAAATACTAGATTCACACTGTGCATACAGTTTTAGTCCTCCTTTCCATTTATTTTTGTGTATTCTTCATTGAAAATAGGATTGAATTTTTTAATAATACCATCAGTAGAGTTGTTAACTTTTCATGTCTATCTTAGACTAGAATAGGGGTTGGCAAACTATGGCCCATGGCCGTATCTGGCCTGCCATCTGTTTTTGGGTATCCCATGAGCCAAGGATGGTTTTACATTTTTAAAATGGTTGGAGAAAACGAAATCAAATAACAGTAACATTTGAAGACGATGAAAATCTGTTGCAGTAGCAGAATTAAGTAGTTGCAACAGAGACCTACATATTTTATTCTGGGTTTTGCCTCTTAGCATGCAAAACCTAAATATTTACCTTCTGACCCTTTACTGAAGAAGTTTGTCATCCCTTAAATTAGAATATAGTTCAAAATATTTCTCCTGTAGGCTATTTAATCTGAAGAACTTTAATTTTAAAAGGTAGTAAGTTGACTTTTTAAAAGCACATCAAAATTCTGAATTAATGGGCTTTTTCTTCTCCTAGATTAGTAGTATATTAAAATCAGTTTTTCTAGTGTTGTTGCTTTGGAGCCTAGAGACATTTTCATAACCTTTAAAAACAGAAAATTTCAGATGAAAACCTTTCTGTGTATCAGAAAGATTTTAGCTCTTTGGAACTGTACCAAACTGAGCCTCAGAAGCAGTGTGCTGATATCTTTAAAAATGAAGGAGGGAAAGTATATGAAAAAGTTCTAGAGAACCCTGCAAAGAATTTAAATGGATAGAAGATCTGTTTCAGATCATATTCTCTCTTAAAATAAGACAAATATCCATGTTCCTGTTACCTACTTCAGCAAATGTGGTTTCTCTTTATGTTTAGATATTGGTGAAACTCCTTTATCTTTGTATTGCCTCAATAAAGTCTGACACATTTATTCTCTAAAGCTCAGTTCGTATACATATTTTGAGAACATTTTCTTTGTGAATTCTAGAGTTTACCTAAAATATCTTTTCATGCTCTTGTTCTATTCATTCCAAATTCTGTTTCTTTCTTTGGGGAACAGATATTTCCACAAGTTTCTCCTGCTAGTTTAAGCTGCACATTTTTCGTTAGTAGGGTGCAGGTACTTCTCCTTCATCTGATGATTTACACATGATTTACATCTCTCTAGTGCTGCCAGCACCTTACTTCTATTCCTATGTTCCTATATTCTTAGGCATGTTCCTCTAGTAATAATTAACTTAGTTGGGAGGTTGTTGGTATTCTAGGTTAAAATGAATGCAGACCTGTCCTGGAATATAATGGAAATTTCTCCATGAGTCTTAAGGGAAAAAAACATAAAACCTCACAAAAATTTAAGAAATTTTATTTTTGAACTTGGTTGTTTTGGGGTCTATTCTGAGGAAATTTTCTCTTCCCTCTTTATATTATTTCTAGTGAGAAGTTTAAACACCAAGTGGATTAAACATTCATTACAAGTAATACTATTGAGCTTCCTGCATTGTGCCAGACATTGTAGGTTCCTTGGGATATTCATAGATGAGAGACCCAGACCCTGTTCTTAGAAAATATATACTTTGGCTGGGCATGGTGGATCACATGAGGTCAAGAGTTCAAGACCAGCCTGGCCAACATGGTGAAGCCCAGGAGGTTGCAGTGAGCCAAGATGTGTCATTTCACTCCAGCCTAGACAACAGAATGAGACTCCATCTCAAAAAAAAAAAGAAAAGAGAGAGAGAGAGGAAAAAAAAGATATACTTTAATTGAAGAAGATTTTCTAGAATTAACCAGAGTACACTGTGGGAAAAGGTAGTGAATGGCAAATTAAGCTTGGAGGTTGAGCGGAATGGTCTCTCAGAGAAGAAAGTGTGAAGAAGAAAGTGTGATGCTTGAGCTAGACCCCAAAAGTTAGGGGAGGGGATACTTCTTCAAGAGTACAGGTTTGGTGGAGAACACCTGATTATCAATGATTTGTCAAAGGTACAACCTCAAACTTTGTAGAACAAAAGTTCTTGGCAGAGAGAATCATAACAATAGAGAAAGTTGTCTGGCAGTTGCTAGGAATCTGTCTGGCAAGTTGATATAGACCAGGAAGATGTCGTCATTTGTGTGGGCAAGGCAAATGTCGCAGAAGTTTAAGAAAAGCTTATTTAGCATAGTAAGGACTTTGAACTTCCTCCTCTATCTAGAACAGTTATTAAGCTTAAAGTTGCTTACTTGATGTTTTGCATGTATTATCTAATTTAAACCTTAAAACAACCTTCTGAGGTATTAAAACAACCCTCTGAGGTATTGGTAGCCCTCTTTTACAAAAATCAAACTGAAGTTTGGGAAGATGAAGTAACCTTCTCAAGGTCACACAACTAGTAAGCGGCAGAGAAGGATTCAGATTCAGGAATTCTAATTTCAAAACCTGACTCCTACTAGATAAGTGGCACTGGGAGAGCTGCTGAATAACTTTAAATAGTGAGGTGACATTATCAGTTTTATGTTTTATAAAGATCACTTAGGTATTATCATTGGGCTCCAATATTAAAACTTATATATTCATCTCACACTTCATAGAATCATCTTTACTTATCATTATATTATGTGATAATATCTGCGTGACAGCATATAATAGATAGAAGGAGACACAGGATTCTTATACTGAGATTGCAAGAGAAAAATTTTTTGGTCAGTAGTTTGGTTTGATGTGTATTTAGAATAAATTCACCTGTTTAAGTATTATTGAGGTGTTCTAGACACCAAGGTACATCAGTGAACAAAGCAGACAAAAATGGAACTCACATTCCAGTTAGTAAATTTTAGTAGTTATACTAAAACACTTGGTATACTACAAACAGATATAAAACTAAGGTAGCTGATTGTGATGATAGGAAAATGTAAATCTGAGATTTGTGTCTTATTGAAATGAAACTA